TTCGCCTGACATATTTTGGGCATGTTGCAAGGAGGGGACTGGTCCTTGGAGAGGGACATCATGTTTGGGAGAGTGGAGGGGCGGCAAAGGAGAGGAAGACCTTTGATAAGATGGATCGATTCTGTGACTGGAGAGGTAGGAATAAGTGTGTCTGAGATGGCTAGGTTGGCACAGGATAGAAGAGCGTATAGAGCTCTTGTACATAGGGCCGCTATGAGTCACAAGCTACTCGATGGCACATAACAACATCCTTGGAAATAGAGACTGTGACTGGAACGCTGCTCAATGCTGCCCCTTCAGGTGGAGCCCACCGACCCTCTCTTAGCTTGTTTCTGGTGTCCCCAGTCTATTTCCCAGCCCTGTCAGCTCCTGGAACTTGCCTGGCAGCCAATAGGTGTTTAATGAGCCAGAGATGGTGGGGGGAACGGGCTAGGGAGCAGTCTGGCCTGGACAGTGAGGAGCCAGGGCGGCCTCCTTCGGAAGGGCTGGCCCTGGCCTTCCAACTCCCCAGCTTCCTCTTGGCCTCAGAAAGAAGCAGGAGGAAGCTGAGGGTGCCAGATTCCTCAATAGCCCATCCGGGGAATATGGGGGGATTTCCGACGGACTTGGAGGCTGAAAGACAGGCTTAGTGAGCCTGGAGTCTCGTATCCGCCCTCCTGGGGCCCCACAGGAAATGTCAAATAGGGTGATTAACAATAACAATGGTAATAATCTCAGTCATAATACTACATTATAATAATCATAGCTTTCATTTTCCCAGCCAAGGGCCAAGGGCTGAGGGTTAGAGTATTCTCAGGGCCTTCTGGGTCCTTCTGAAGGTGACCAGCACCACCACATGACAGCTGAAGACACAAGCCAAGGAGGTTGCTGGGGAAGTTCTGGGCTGCTTGTCCACCCAGGCCCAGCAGAGAGGTTTGAGACCCAGAGACATAAGAGTAATTGTCAGGTTTGCCCAGGACTAGGGGGGTTCCCAGGATGTGGGACTTTCATGGCTAAAACGGACAGTTCAGGGCAATCCAGGTGCTACTGTGACTGTGGGTTTTCCAGAGGAAGCTGGAATTGGGGGATTCCCCTGACTCAAGAAAGCCTGTAAAGGGGTCGGGGCTCCCCCATGGTCCCACTGGGCTAGTGAGAAAGCCAGGAGATGTTGCATTTAAGAACAAACTCTTTTGTGCCCTTTTGAATGGGTGAGTTCAGGGAACGGTCAGCCCCTTCTCCAGAATAGCCCTGCAGTTCTGTGTTTTGTTGGCACATACAGTCTAGAACATTCACTTCAACAGTTGCAGGTGGGCTGCCCTGAAAAGGAAACAGAAGGGAGGAGGCTGGATCCAGACAGCCACGGTTCAAGCCCCACCTCCTCCATCATGGGATTCTGAGCAGTTCATGACTTCATTGTGCCCCAGTTTCCGCCTCTGTGAAATGGAACTGGTCCAAGTCTCACCCTCATAGGTGTGCTTTTTGTTGTGTACCATGGAATTGGAACCTACTCATAGCTGACCCTCCACTAGATTTTCAGAGGCAGTTGATTCCATGAGAGGAGATTGCCCATCTTTCTCCTGTAGAGCAGGTGGCAGGTTCCAGGTGTTTGCCTTTAGGTTGGCAGTGCCTTTCCTTATCGCTAGGGGTGGTTTAGCCCAAAGGCTGGCTTTTTTTAACCGTTACAGTTAGCCGCCTCGGGTCTCCAGCAGACCATTTGCAGACACTTGGTCTTGGAAATCAGCATGGTCTTGCAAATCCTCAACAGATATGGAACTAGAATAAGAGAAAGACTGCTTCCCACACCTAGCAGCCAGGCTGGAGGCGAGCAAGGCTTGGGGCACCAAGATCCTGCTGAGAGCAAGACCCTGGAGGTGGAGAGACTGTGGCATTGCTGTGGGGAAATTGTGGCAAAGTGTGACCTGAGACTTCTTGGATTTGTGCTGGAGGGGCCTCTGGCTTCTGGAAGAGAGGCCAGAATGAAACGCTCGGGCGCTTGTGGCTTTCTTTTTTGCCACAAGTGGGTGTCAGTAGAGCGGACTTGCCAAATGAACTGGGGGTCTCTGGCCCAGAGGTTGCCAGCAATTGGGCGTGCCAGAATGGTAAAATAACAGAATGCCGGACACACCTACAGGGTAAGGACATGTGTCTTGGGAGTCTCCGTGTCAGCTGGAGGGGCCTCTGGCTTCTGGAAGAGAGGCCAGGATGGAACGCTCGGGCGCTTGTGGCTTTCTTACTGACCACTGTGACACTGACGTGTCAAATGCGTTAATGGTTACCTATGGTGGACAGTGTTTGGTGGCGCTCCCCCATTAAAACAAGCTTGGAAGCAGGAGTGGCATCCACTTCCGTAATAGCTTGCCTCCGGAAACACTATGAACCTGGAGAAAGGATGAAAGTCACCCAAGTGTTGAGGACTTTCGTTCATAGGGTCGCTATGAGTCGCCTAAGACTCAACGGCACTTAACAACAACAACAACAACAACACAGAGAGAGATCAGTTGGCCTAGTGGAGAGAAAGTGATGCTACCAAGCTGAAGGCAGGTGACTTCTAAGCCGTGGCCCTCAGGCCTGTTTTTCATTGTTTTTGTTCAAACATTCTTCTAGGTCTATATAGCCCTGGTGTGTCCACTTGCTGTACAGAGGTAACTGTGGTCACTGTGAAGCTGAACACTGTGACACTGATGTGTCAAATGCATTAATGCTCACCCATGGTGGACAGTGTTTGCTGTAGCTCCCCGATTAAAACAAGCTTGGAAGCAGGAGTGGCATCCACTTCTGTAATAGTTTGCCTCTGGAAACCCTAGGAACTTGGAGAAACAATGAAAGTTATACAGGAGGTGTCTAGGTCTTTTGTTCTTAGGGTCGCTATGAGTTGCCTCTGACTTGACGACACTTAACAACAACACAGTTAAAAGGTTTTTCCTGTTCTTGCTGGATACTTGGAGGAGAAGCTGACTTATAACCGCACTGGGGTAAACATGACTGAATTATTTAGATTTGACAGCTGAATTAACACCAGAATCTGGACTAATTGAGTGCTTGAGGATGTTGGAATACACTTGGACTTGTACTGTGAGATATTCTTTGCCTCCCACAGTCTCCAGCTTATATTCCTAATAAACACCATTCTCAGTACCACAACTGTGAGTGTGAATGGGCAACAGATGCACGAACCTCTCGCTGTTGGTGCGGCTCTAGGGTCACCGTGGGGCTGTGCTAAGGGCTCTTTGTCTACTTTCTGCTCTCCGACAATGAGGGGCTGTGCTCTTCTTACTCCCTCTGGCCCATTCAGAGAGGCGTGCATAGGTTTGTGCCCTTGTGCCCCGTTTTCTTCTCTACAGACACAAGGCCACCTGAATGCCCTCAGCGATGTGTTGGGAGGATTAAATGAACTAACTGATGCACGTGGAGAGCTTATAGAGCTCTGGTGGTGTAGTCATAGCAAGTGGCACTATCAACCCAAAGGCCACACCTCTGCCGGTTCAAATCCACCAGCAGCTCTGCAGTGGACAGTCTCCTCCTGCGCAAGGGACAGTCTTGGAAAACCCTCTGGAGGGTGAGCCATGAGTCAGTTCTGACTCAATGGCAATGAGTCAGCGCTATTATTTCTACCTTCATTTATTTTAACTTTTGCTTATGATCTAAGTCACATTAACAGCAAATTGGTTTGCCATTCACCAGCTCATACACACACTTTCTTGACCCTGATTGCAATCCTCACAGCATAACAACACTTTCCACACTTTCACCTCGGGTTTCCCATTTTTATCACAGTTCTCTGACCAACAGGAAAGTGCTGGGTGATAGAATGAACTTGTCAAGACTATACAAGATTCTCCCCATACCTTTCCCTCCCACCTCCAGAAAAAAAACCCACACACAAACACAAGACAACAAAACTACACAAGATTCAAACCACTGAGCCAAATGGCAGCACCATGATAGATGGAGAAGAGATTGAGGTTGTTAACCATTACAACTTGCTTGATTTCACAATCAACACTCTTGGCACTAGCAGTCAAGAAATCAAAAGACAAATTGCACTAGGAAAATCTGCTGTGAGAGTACTGAAAAGCAACGATGTCAGTCTAGAGACTAAGGTGTGCCTAATCCAGGCCATGGTCTTTGCAATTCCTTGCTGTGCATCAGAGAGCTGGACAATGACTAAGGATGACAGAGGAAGAATTGATGCTTTTGAGTTGTGGTGCTGGAGAAGAGTCTTGAACTTATCATGGATGCCAAGAAAACAAATAGGTCTATCTTGGAGAGAGGGAAGCCAAGTTTCTCCTTGGAGGCTAAGATTTTGAAGCTCCTTCTCACATACTTTGGGCACGTGGCCAGGAGGGATCAGTCCTTGGAGAAGGACATCATGCCCAGAATGGTGAAGGGACAGTGCAGGTAAGGAAGACCCTGGATGAGAGGGATTGATATTGTAACTGGGGCAATGCAGGAGGTATGTTGAGGTTAGTGAGACTGCCTCAGAATAGGGTAGGCTTCAGAGCTGCTGTGCATAGGGTTGCTATGAGTCTCAGGTGACTTGACAGCACATAACAACATCCTTAGTCAAGAGGTAAGGTGTGAACTCATGGTTGAATGTCCTCCTGACCTGTACATCCACATAGCTTGGACTCCAAGATATTTTTTTTACTGTTTCTTTTCTCATTTGTTGACCTTCCCTGTTTCCATTATCACATCTTTATCACAAGAAAACTTCAGCAGGAAAACTAAGATTTTGCCTATCCCAGGGTAGAGTGTTCTGTCGTAACTCAAGCAGCTCCTGCCTTGCTCAGCTTAATCCATACACATTTCCCTCTGTCCTTCTTTCCTATCCTTTTCTGCCTTCTGAGGTTGATCCCTGGACAAACGCTGCCTGTTTGGTCACAGAGGTTGATTATCCTAGGGAGTGTGGACCTTCCTTGTGTAATCAAAGATCTTATCAAACACCGCATTCCCTTTGATGCAATTCTGACTCATGGACACTCGGTACTGGATTTCTGGATTTCCGAGACTGGAATTTTAACAGTTGGAAACTGTTCAGTCCTTAGAAAGACATCATGCTGGGAAAGGTAAAGGGTCAGCAAAAGAGAGGAAGGACCTTCAATGAGACAGACTCACACAGGGACTGCGACGGATGGGCCTGAGCAGTAGCGGTACCGCGATGGGAAGGGCAGAGATAGGACAGAGATGGTGCAGGACGGGGCGAGGTTTGAGCTGTTCACAGGTTGCTCTGAGTCATAATTAACTAGAAGGCACATCAAACCAACATGATCTCTCCTTTAACGATGTTTTTTGGTACATATTCCTTTCCACTCCACAAAGATCTGTGTTTTGAAGGGTGTGTGTGTGTGTGTGTGTGTGTGTACCATCAAATCGGATTTGACTGGCACGGGATATTGTCCCTCCTTCTCCAGTAGAGCATCTGGTGGATTCGATCTGCTCACCTCTGGGGTTGCAGTCCAGCTTCTTGCCACTTGGCCACCAGAGCTCGCCCACATAGGTCTGTTTTGTGGAATTGAAATATTATGACTATTCTAGGCATCCAAAAAAAAAATGTAGACAATACCACTAAAGAAACAGAAGACAGAGAGCTGGAGAAAGATTAGTAGAAATCAGAATAATGGGGAAGAAGTGGGTGAA